GTAAAATATGCGTGTATCTTTTTCAAATAACATGTAAGAGTGGAACGACCCGCCCCGCCCCGTACCTGCACGGGTTTTACCCGCCCGACCCATAGTAACGTAGGGCGGGGCATGGGTATTGAGGTACTAGCCCGTCCCATTGCTATCACTAATCTGATAGAAATCTATTTCTAGGGATCTATCGATCGTGTTGGTTGATTGGGGATTTAGATATTTGGGGATAGAATTAGGGATTGAGATTAAGGATTTGGGAAAGAAGAAGAACAGAATCCACCTAGACATTTAGAGGGATTTAGAACGAGAACTGAGAGGATAGGGAGATTAGGGTTTGGAAGGCTCTTCTTAATATTCTTCTTATTGATTCTGAATAAAACGTAAAGTACATATTTATAACGAAAGATTGGAAAAACCTGATAGACTATCCTATTATGACTCAAATACTACTAACCATATCTAATAATATCCTAATTATAGTGACAATAATAATTGTGATAGAACCCAGAAATTATGTTTCTATCATCCCCTCCCCCTTGAGACCAACCTTGCCCTCAAGGTTGAAAGACTCGACCCACTTTTCCACGTCGTCCGTGCAACCGCGTCTTGGCTCCTCCATGTCTTGTGCTTCCTTTTCTTCCAATCATGCTCCAACTCTTTACTTGAGCTTCTTGTTCTGATTTTCTTGCCATGACCCAAAGATGTAAATTTCATTTCCATGGGCCCAATCTTGCTTTCTTCCTGCTCAACATTCTCCTTGGTCGAACATTTTGCTAACCCAACAAGCCCATCTTTTAATTCCTTGGTCCCATACCAGGGTGGCCCAATCTGGAGGCCCAATTGATGTACTAGCTCTAATTGAAAACCAAACCCATATGCTTGGCCTAAGAAAACTCGACCCACTTTCGCCGCACGGATCCCTGGCTCCGTCGTCCCTCTAGCATCGCACGACGCGGAGCCCCCGTTGTCGCCATTAGTGGCTCTATATCCCTGCGGTGCGCCTCCTTGTCCGGTGGAACCTTGGCGGATGCAACTTCCAATGCTCCGCACCCTTTCTTCTCGATCGACGATTCTGTAGCCGCCGCCGTCAATCGCGACGCTCCTTGCGCGACTCGCGTCCTTCGCGATAACGCCCGGCAACCCGTCGTCTTCTCCTCCTTCTCTTTCACTCTTGTCGGTGAACGGGCCAACAAACGGCGAGGTGACTCATCCCGTGACAGCGCGATCAGCCTGCTCCTCTTTTTCTTTTTCTTTTTCTTTTTCTTTTTCTTTTTCTTTTTCTTTTTCTTTTTCTTTTTCTCCCTCCTCGATGTCGCATCCTGCTGCAAGCTGCTCATCGCCTCGGCCTCACGTCCTCGTCCGGTGATGGTTCCCAGCTCTGCCTCGTCGGACCCAGAGCTAGCATCGGCTAATTGCTCGTTCTCGATGGTGGCAGAGACCACCATCTCTTGATTTGTGATGTCCTGATTTCCGTGTTCGACGGCAGTTGGAAGTACGACGGTGATTTTCGCCGCAGATGGCGGAGGTGCCCCACTCTCCTTCACGATGATAGCTGTGATTGAAGACGCTGTCATGGCAGTGGTTGTCGGCGTGGATGTGGCAGCGATAGCCTGGCCTTGTGGCAATGACTTTCTCACTGCCCCCCCCCCCCCAACGATTCGCCGCCCTCACCCGTGCCTCCTAATTTCGGCGGTCCATGATGTGTTGCAACAACGCTTCTAGCCGGTACCACTCTGCATCAAAGAGATGTGACAAGATCATTATGACTCTGGCACTCGTCCCTGGTTGAGAGTTATGGCGAACTCGCTTTCGGAACGGGGCTCTGATACTAGATGATAGAAATATATTTCTAGGGATCTATCGATTGTGTTGGTTGATTGGGAATTTAGAGATTTGGGGATAGAATTAGGGATTGAGATTGAGGATTTGGGAAAGAAGAAGAACAGAATCGACCTAGGTCTTTAGAGAGATTTAGAACGAGAACTGAGAGGATAGGGAGATTAGGGTTTGGAAGGCTCTTCTTAATATTCTTCTTATTGATTCTCAATAAAACGCAAGTACATATTTATAACGAAAGACTGATAGACTATCCTATTATGACTCAAATACTACTAACCATATCTAATAATATCCTTATTAAAGTGATAATAATAATTATGATAGAAACCAGAAATGAGGTTTCTATCATAATCATTCCATTGTTTTTAATTATCCGAAATGCCAAGAAATTGATACGCATATTAGAGGGTTATAGTGGTAGTAATAATAATCGGTACGAGACATTATGATTTTCGGAACCATATCTATGTATATTTCTATATCAAATCTCTAATTCTGTACTATCCTCTCCGCTAACCAATCTCATCATATTCTTCTCCAATCCTCTCAGTAGTAAGTAACTCCTGAATTTCTCACTGTCTCTTTGACAAAACGTGTATGTGTTACTATTGGAACTCTAGAAGAGTTTCATAAAACAATGGATTGTTTAAAGAATGATCAACATGAAGTTTTAGAAGATCCTTCTGGTGGATCAGAAATGTAATGTCAAAAGTGAAAGAGCAATTTTGTATGAAAAATGACATATGTTGAGCAGCCTAATGATTGTGGGTCACTAAAAGTGAACAAATGTTAATCTTTGTCTTGAGAGAGAAGTGAGTTATTATGTATTGAAGTACCCTATATTAATGTTGTTAAAGCGATGATGTATCTCGCTAGCCATACACCATTGAACATATAATTGAGAGTTAATATATTAGCAATATATATTTTCCTCTCGGTATATGACATTCAAATGGAGTTGAGCTTAAAATTCGTTACCTTTAGATAACAATGAGGATCGTAGATGGATTATTTGTTTACCTATGATCGTACAACTATCTTATGAAGATCCAAACAAATCATAATAACTATACATTTGATCATGCACAATTGTTAGCAATTCAGAGGCATGTTATGAATTGTATGATTAAGATTCATGAGTCAACACATCAAAATACTTGTGACTGTGGATCCTGAAGATCATGCAGGAAGAAAATGGTCATAATGGATCGTCCATAAAGTGACAGTATAGAACATTTGTTCACTAAGACACTTATCATGAAAATATTTGAAAATTTTGTTCTCGAAGCTACACTTTGACGATCAAATATTTGAATTGATGTTGTCATGAGTAGGAGCATATGCGCACTACACTATTTTTTTCCTTGACCATAATATTGCCCACTAATTGTTCTAAGATTTTTAACGATACAGTTTCAAATAGCGTATTATAATGATTATGCACTCTTATCTCATATATTTTTTCCTAGTAAGGTTTTAATGAAACATATTCTGTATTAATGGGCATCCAATGGGGAGTATTGTGATCAATTATTGGACTTCCTAGCCATAGCTGATGTTGGTGATACTAAGAACGTAATCCATAAATTTTTTTTTTTTTTTTTGACAAAAGATATATATTAATCAATAAAAGAAGATAGTTACATCCTGGAACACAGCCAGGCCTGAAAATCAAAACTACGACAAGTAGCCGGGTACAACGACAGGGCTTTCCTAGCCACCAAGTGGGCTACCCTATTACTACGCCGACCTACAAATCGAATACTCAATCCCGGATGGAGGACAAATAATTGCACCACCTCCTTAAGCACAGCCCCCACCCTACTATCCTCCATCTCTCGCCGTCGAATTTTATCAATAATCACCTTGGCATCACCTTCAAAACAAACATCATGCACCCCCTGACTTAGACACCACTTCACCGCCTCACGAAGCGCCAAAACCTCCGCAGCCACAGGATCATCAATAGCTGGAAAATGCACCCCCTCTGCCCTCACACTCCCACCTTCTGCACTTAGCACCATACCCCCCGCCGCATGCGAGCCCGCTCTTGTCGCCCCATCCCACGAGCAGACAAACCCAGCACCCACACGTGGAGCCGGGAGGCTCTGCCGGGCCCCCCCAGCCAAGCCAGGGGAAGGGTCACCAGGTAGATGCATCCATTCCTCCACCTGCTGCTGAAATTGACGAACCAGTGCTAAGAAGGCAAATTGTTTCCCCTCAAAAACTACCCAATTCCGGGATTTCCAAATCCGCCAGAGGACCGCAATCACAGCCATGAACAGAGAAGGCTGGTGCAGAATGGCCAACAATTGTTTGAGAAAGAGGGGAAACGTCTGCCACGGAAGTCCCTCTCCCAGGGCCTCCAACCCAGAATAGTCCCACATAGCTCGAGCAACTGGGCAATACAAGAACAAATGCTCCAAGGACTCCAATTCATCCCAACAAACCGGGCAGCGCTGAGCAACCGGCACCTTCCTCTCCCCCAGGGCCTCCATCGTAGGTAGGATGCGATTAAAAATTTGCCAAGCAAAGATCTTCAACTTAGGCGGAATATTCGCGTCCCACAAGCGAATCCAACTTCCTTTATCCATCCAACTCACCATCTCCCTCCACCGTCCCGATCGTTTCTCAAGAGTGACCGCAAGGTGGTAGGCAGACTTGACAGTGAAGATCCCGTCTGTAGTACCATGCCAAATCAGTTTATCCTCCATCTCCTGCACTGGAAGAGGGATAGCACGAATAGCCTGACAGGTATCCGGGTCAAACCACTGGCTCAAACTATTCACACACCAGCCCCCTCCCTCCGGGCACATGACCATAAAATTAGGACAAGGGACATGCAGGATAACAGGGGCAACAGGATACTAGTGGAGATAGCGAGCCTTCGACAGCAATTCTAGCAGTTTGATATTTTCTTTATTGGCACGATTAGCAATCGAGTGGCCCATTTAGTGGGTAGAAAGTCCCTTTCTTTGTTGCCTGCAAGTGTTGATAGTTTTTATTTTCGTGAGTGGTTTATTTTTTATATGTTAACTCTATCTTTCTTTCCTCAGAAATACAAGTGAGCTTTTGTCGGGGAAAAATGGGAGTATTGTGGATGTTTATTGGATGTCACATCTATATTGAATGTTATATTATAAGCTATTTACCTCCTACATTAATCATTGATTATAAGAATGAATCATCTTATAGCTCCTACATTGGTCTTATAAGAATGAATCATCTTATAGCTCATTTCCTCACGAAATTGTAAGGTTAGTCATATGTATCTATAAATAGAACACCCCAATTATAGACATCCTAGTATACAAAAGAATGAGATGGATAAGAGAAATACTCCTCCCATCTTCTCTCGGGTCTTTCTCTCTATCCTAAATGCAGAGAGAAAAGAAGTCAGAAAGGTGCACTTCATCATAAAAATGGTCACTCCGATCTCGTGGCTGAACGACAGAAACAAGAATAGAAATGGTAATTGGAAAACTCGCAAAAACCAGAAACAAATTTCAGTAGCAAGAATGAGACTTAGATCACGAGTAGAGCTCGTAGACACCTACAGCAGTGCTCCGAAAGGAAATCAAATGAGTTCGCAGGAAGTTATTCTATCAAAGCTCCAATCTTTTTTCTTTTCTTAGCCATATAAGTTAGTGTTTGTGTAGACTGAACTCTTCATCTAAACACGACGATATCATGCATTGGTTCTCATAGGCTCACCGACGGCCCCCTCCATCCTTGTGTACCATTCTCCAATACGAGTATGCTCCACCATATCTTTGCCGGACTTAAGGTATCTGATCGGCCTCAGGACGCCAAAAACCGCGAGATCAGCCAGATTAGGACGTGAACCACCTGTTGAGGGAAGAAAAGAATCAGGTGGAGGGGGTCAAGAAAAAAACTCAAAAAGTGAATCATTCAACTACCATAAAACACAGACCAAGATAGTCACGGCCCTTGAGAGCGTCCACCCATGTTTCGGCAGCTTCATACAAGGATGCACGTTCATCAGTGATATTATACTTCTTCTTCAGCTTCTTTGACACGAAGTACATAGCGGTTGCACCAGCATATTTTGCTACCAACCTCTCTGTGAAGCTAAAATTTCCTAGAGAATGAAAGCATGGAGATTAACATGATCAATTATAATGTATCTTTTCCTTGACTAATTGTACTTGAGATAATCGATATCAGTTTGTTTATGCTAAACAAATTCAAAAAACAAGGTGTTGTACCATGACTGGTAATGTAGTCGAATGACTCCAGAGCCTCGGAAGCATTTCTGTAAATATTTGGTGACAGAACATGCACCAAGTGACCATCTACCCATCTGGAGAATAACATTCAGCATGATCATTTGCAGAGAAGAAAAGCTTGACAAGATTAAGACAAGGATAGAAGAATGCGAGAATAATCATAACCATTAACCAACACCACAGACAAATCTACAACAGCTTGCAATCCTATATTCAACATTAACAATAGACAATCAAAATATGAACGAGTCCACTGAAAAACACTCAATTATTGTACGTGATTCATTCAAGTTTAACAAAGATAAAAGTATGATCGTACTTTCGCCACTTTGCTTCTTCCTCGGCATCTGCACATGTGCCCTCTGGATGAATCCTCTTGAACAAATCACTAATTATCTCTGCATAAGTAACCAAGATATAAGCCTTAACATTAAGATCAGCTCTAATTTAGGTAATATAGGGAACATAATAGGGAACAACCTGAAGAGTCGACCATCTGTTCACCATCAATAGTAAGTATCGGCACCTTCTTGTACTCAGACCACTTGATCTCCTTTTTACTCATCGGGTTAACTTCCACCACCTTGTATGGAATGCTGTAGTAGTCCAAGAATGCTGAATCAAAACCCACGGAGGAAAGGGTGAAAATCATAGCAAAGGTAACCTTACGATTTCATATTGGCATTTCATCTTAATCCTACTCGGGGTGCCTAATCAGTTTGTATGGAATGCATAAGTTCTGCTGAAAACCAATGGAAACCATCCATTACGAGATCAACTCCTTCACTGATCATAGTTAGAGATTCGATTCAACAATTGAACAGTGAAACTCTTAAGTCTAGACTTCAACTTCAGAAACCCACTTGACAGCAAAAAGATTCAACCAGTAAAGTATCATTATCGATTGATTACCTTTAACCTTGTTGCAGAAAGGGCAAGCCTCGTACTGATACAGAACAACTTCCTTGGGTAAAAACTTAGGCAACTCCTTAGCGTGAACTTCCTGCGCCATAGACGAAGCCGCAACGGAGAAGAACATCGTCCCGACGACTCCAGCGGCGACGGAAGTCCCCGAGAGACCGAAATAATCAGACAATCTCCGAGAGAGGAACTGGGGACCTGAGCCAGAGGAAGTAGTGCTAAGCATCGCGGATCGGACCAGAAGGTTCGGCATGGCGGCGGCGACGGTGGCGGGGGATGTGCAGGATCCGGCGGCAATGCCGCGGCCATAGGTAGCGAGCCCGTGAACTCTCCTCATCGCTATTTGGACGAATTCGAAACTACTACTATTGCTCTTTGCCTCTTTCTATCTTCGATTTCCTTCGGAGGAAACAGAACTTTCTAGGGTTTAACCAGAATGGGTTTTACTTTTGCAGATGAATCGAGATTCAGATTTGCAATTCAGACACGATGCGTCGATGAGCTCCTCAGATTTCTCCGGGAAAGGTCGGAGGTAATTGGGCGCGAACTTTCTCGATTTTGGGCTTATTTTGCCTCAGTCCAGTGGGCCTATTCTTAATGAATGATCAGGCATTGTTTGGATGAGTTAATAATTGAGTTGTGGTATTTGGTGACAACTGACAAGTTATCGGAAGTGGTACTTGTGTTATTTCCACGACAGTTGGTTTCAAATAACTCGTTTGATTAATAAGGGGTCGTTTGGATGGTACAATTGTGCAATGAGTCAATTGGGGAGAATGACTCATTCATAATTGCTCCATGTTTGATGATGATACTTTTTGTGTACATTGCCTTGTTTGGTTCACTCTTTGATAGTTAGTTAATTGTTTTTTGGCTTATAGGGAAGGGTGAGTAAAATCCAAAATTACCCTTCATTTATTCCCTTCTTCTCCACGTACAATCTCCACCAAACCCCCTCCATTACTTTCCCTTCTCTCAATCTCTCCCCAATCCCCTAAAGAAGAAGAACGAAGGTAGCAGACAACCCCACTTCCAAACGTTGGTCTCCACCTCACTAGCACCTACAAGACGTTCTCTTTTCTGAAATGGGTTCTGGATTCTTCTCCGACTATTCGACGGAGGAAGGGGTATACTGCAAGTGTAAACTGAAAGCTCTTGTACGAACTTCCAGAACTTCCAAGAATCCTAATCGCAAATTCTGTTCCTGCTCTTATTACCAATCAAAGGTCTAAGGTGATGTATATATGTAGTCGTGGATTCCCCCTTGTTCGGTTGGTTGTTTCAATCAGTGGATTCATGTTTCACAATTTTCTAATTTTAATATGTAACTTGATTTGTGTACCGAGAAAACCCGGTTGTGGCTTCTTCGATTGGTGCGATGTCCGAGCTGTGGAAAACAGGGAACAAAGGCTCTTGAATTTGATTGCCAATTTGCAAAGCAAAGTCTGTGATGTTCAAGAAGAGAATGGGAGGCTTTCTAAGTTGTTGGCTTTAGCTCCTGCTTGTGACCACCACTGTGATAATATCGCCACTAAAGAGCTGCAAGTGGTGAAACAAAGATTGCTTACAGTGGAGAGAAAGCTTTAGTAGAGTGGCGATTAACTAATAGTCATGGCTTGTTTAGGTTAATCTTGTATAGTTGGGATAGATTTAGTGGAGGAAGTTATCTAAGTTGTGTACTTATTTGGATTTATGAAGCATGTATTTTGTGATGGTAATCTGAGTTGGACCAGTTGTGTTTTATTTTTATCAGATGCAGAGTTATGATGTAACTTGGAGAAGCTAGAACTTCTAATTATAGTGCATCAAATGCAGAGTTATGATTTAATTTGAGATCTTTACTGTGCTTGTATACCTATGTGTTAATTATGTTTGAACATGATGTGTTCTGCTTCTGTTAATGTTACTCTTCTAAATCTGATGTTGGTATAACCTACTGTCAATCTCAAAACAGTAAGCAAAGGCAGCAAGAGAAAATTGCAGCAGCTGCATAGTGAACAACAATTAATAAGTTCAACAATCCATTAACATCTGCTGCAGTTTAACATTACCATACACGCTTTACAAACTACCTGCCTATCAAATGTAATTGTCTACGTTGAAGTTGAAGCTTATAATTAGCAACACTCAACTTTACAAAATAGTAGGTTGTCTAAGTTTGTAAAGACTATCACTGCTTGTGTTATACAATGACAGACAAAAGAACAACATCCTCTTTGCAAACCAACAGCTGCTACATAAGAACCCTAGACAAAATAAACCACACCTAATTGCTAACTACGATAACGACCCTCTTGTTCATTTGCTTAGGAGCTCGAGCACAAGGGTCAGCTTGTCTTCTTCCTTCTCAAGGTCATAGAAGACCTTCAAGTGTCCTGGACAATCTGATAACTTCATAACTGCAAGGATCACCTGTGATCTAGTCAGTCCACCTATCTTCTCCAAGTTCTGCAACAGATCTCTATGCATCACAGTGTACTCCGCACTTTCTCCTAAAGCCCTAGCAATGGTGTCAGCTGACTCCTTGATGAGTGGCCTCAGTCCTCCCAATTCTTCAGCTACCTCAACACTGCTCCCATTTGCCGCACTATTCTTCTTCTTTTTCTTCTTATGAGATGGACCTGCTTCAGAAGTTGGTGGCCGCTTCTTGTTGATGGGAGCTTCCACTGCATCATCAATGATGTTCAACATCGCTTCATCCATTGCCGGGCTGTTCATCTGGTCAAGTGGGTAAGGAGGAGAGTCGTCATCCGAGCTGCTATCTCCACCTTCCGATATGTATGGATCAGCCCCTGAAAAGCCAGTTTCACCAGTTTGCAATCAGCATGTGACTGCAAACAAGCAGTAAAGGAGGGAACAAACATCATTAATTGCTCACATCTATCTCACCTACAATGACTACAAAGGAAACTACTTGTGTTCTACAACCAACCATGTAAACATTAAATGCAAACTGATCTGTACATTTACATAGGGAGTTTGAAATAACTTCTACCTGCAAAAAACGGTTCCAAACATCTTCCTCCGCATCTACATAGAACTTCGTCGCTTCCCAACCGAATCCACTTTGCTGGCGCATCATAACAGTCGAATGGTACCAATGTTTCAGTTTTCTCACCCTATTTTTAATAGACCAATGTACCAATGTTTCAACTTCTTGTTGCAGAAGGAGGGCTAAAACCATCTAAGAACATCTTTCAATACGCGATGAATTGACCGAGATATGGTCTCTCCAGAACGTCGCAAGTTCAGTCTTAAAGTCCTATTTTTCTCATTCTGTGAAATGGTTCGTAGAAAGGTGTAAACCATCTCGTCTATATCCACATTCCTAGTTGGTTTTAGCCCTCCTTCTGTAACAAGAAGTTGACAGAAATTTCGGAATAGTGTGCTGCTCATCCTAACTTGATCGAATGTATCGATGTCTGACATTCTGGTTGCATTTCTAAGGTGTCTATTTCTATCATAATGCCTCTCTAGGTAGGTGTCCATTGGTTGCCTAGCAAGTCTTGGTCTGCGATTTTCATTTTCTACAAGGTTAGCTAACTTGATGCCTAAACTAACATAAATGATAATAAGATTGAAGAACGATCCGATAGCTGCAACCACCTGGCGCCTACGAGCTGGAGCTAAACTTGATAGTCGAGACATCCTTAAAAATACAGTAGACGCAATACAAATTAGTGATTATCCCAATCTCTCTATCTCTATGTGTGTTAACTTAAAGGCATATATATAATATATAGTATAAATCTATGACAGTAGCAGTGGTGGGTGTGCAAGCTAAGTGCAATAGTACCCATGTGTGTATAATATGTTCTTTTGCTTTGCCAACTGCACATAGTGTACATGTTGAATACTCTCACTCCATAATTCGGCTCCACCTTACCAAACTAGTAGATTTTCCACAACATTAATCACCCATAAAAAAATCGCCAGATACCTTTTGTATGGGCACAACTACTGTAACCATGCACACAAACCACAAAAGTAGAAATTGATAATGGGAATCACTACCCTACAATAGTTTAAGGATACGCCAACAAAAGCATGTGAAGAGTGAAAGTTGAGCAGCCGAAGAGATTAATCGACAAAAACCCTTTTCAAAAGATGAGAACCCTAATTAACACAAGTAGGATAAGAGATAATTACCTGGCCTAGAGATAGCGTTGCTTGCTCTTTCAATCAAGTCACCGTCGCTCGAATCACAAGCTTCTTCTCCACTTTCGATCGACAGCTCAACCCTAAAGTTCAGAACAGCATAGAAGGAAATGAGAAGAAAAGTGAAGACGATAGGAAAAGGTGAAGGGACCAGGGGCACGTTTGGGTTTACAAAGAAAGGATAGGGACTGGATGGGGGGAAAATGGAATAAACGAGGCAATTGAATTGTCCCCCCCCCCCCCACCAAGTATTTCTAATTCCTCCAAAATGAGCCAATCTTGAATTGACCCGGGCCCAATTACACCATTCATTTTTTGTGCTGCCAAATGAGCTAATGTGACCCAAATGCTTCATTTTGAGCCAATTGAGCCCAATTGACTCACTAGATTATACCATCCAAACGACCCCTAAGTTATTTAACATGTGATATTATGTAACAAGAAATGTAAAATACCAATATGTCTTTATTACCTAATCACTCCCTCTTCGTTTTAGATGTGTTGTATATGTGTATGTCAGTTAGGTTGGTTTTAATTTTTTTAAACACTCAGTCATGACTTTCGGTTTAAGTAATGTTAAACCCAAACGAACTCATAAAATTTCATGGTCCTATTTGAATATTCAACTCATTATATTTCCAGTAATATAGCACGAAAAATAAGACATGTATAACATTCATGTATAGAACAAAAGGCAAAATATTTGTAATAACACATTGAATTCATACTATAAAATAATCATGAATAAAAACTCATTCATACGAAACTGCATACACTTAGCTTGCATTGTAGTAAAACAAAAAGTAAAAAGAGGACGTGACTAGTGACTCACTCCTACTGTCACTCTAGAAAATGGCCAAGTGTAACCACTTCCTAAAGCGTAGTATAGCGGGTTTGGGTTTTATTGTCAACCCGGGTCCTAGATGTGATGACTACTCAGTGAATTCGTATTATCTAGCAATGAAACTTTAGTGAAGTTCTAAACTAACAAACAAACAAAACAACTAAACGGTTGTATTCAGGTTAAGAGAGGTCACCCGGATATGGTTCCCCCTAGACTGCAGTTAAGCCGGATTGTAATTGCCAAGTTCGATTTCTATGATAGTTATACTGCGGAAGGTTCTCAAACAGTCTGAAGTCTCGACTAAAGGTCTTCAGACCCTCTCAATCTGAGTCTCTAGCTGGCGACTAACCTACACCGGAGCAAACAGATTGAGGCCCTATGAACAAAACCTCCACTACCGAATGGAATTCGGTACAGAATAGTGAACTGGCTCCTCAACTAAAGTCACCAATTCACTACCTTCGATTAAGGATACTCTATCAACCTAGGCAGATATTATCATTCTAGGTTAAAGC